GCATCGCCTTAACCTCTTCCCTAAAGAGCCATTAGAATGCTGTGGGATCAGCAGCGCCTTAACCTCTTCCCTAAAGAGCCGTTAGAATGCTGTGTGATCAGCAGCGCCTTAACCTCTTCCCTACAGAGCCATTAGAATACTGTGTGATCAGCAGCGCCTTAACCTCTTCCCTAAAGAGCCATTAGATTACTGTGTAATCAGCAGCGCCTTAACCTCTTCCCTACAGAGCCATTAGAATCCTGTGTGATCAGCAGCGCCTTAACCTCTTCCCTAAAGAGCCGTTAGAATGCTGTGTGATCAGCAGCGCCTTAACCTCGTCCCTAAAGAGCCATTAGAATGCTGTGTGATCAGCATCGCCTTAACCTCTTCCCTAAAGAGCCATTAGAATGCTGTGTGATTAGCATCGCCTTAACCTCTTCCCTAAAGAGCCATTAGAATACTGTGTGATCAGCTACCCCTTAAACATATATACTTTGTAATGCTCTCTCTCCTGATAATTTTACTTCCAATCGATTATTGATCTAAGGGTATAACCATCCGAAATTAGTTTTTGAGAATAATTCATTGGATAACATTGATTTCGATCTATGGCGTTTATACAGGCTTTCTATAAGATCTATGGCGTTTATACAGGCTTTCTATAAGATCTATGGCGTTTATACATGCTTTCTATAAGATCTATGGCGTTTATACAGGCTTTCTATAAGATCTATGGCGTTTATACAGGCTTTCTATAAGATCTATGGCGTTTATACAGGCTTTCTATAAGATCTATGGCGTTTATACAGGCTTTCTATAAGATCTATGGCGTTTATACAGGCTTTCTATAAGATCTATGGCGTTTATACAGGCTTTCTATAAGATCTATGGCATTTATACAAGTTTTCTATAAGATCTATGGCGTTTATACAGGTTTTCTATAAGATCTATGGCGTTTATACAGGTTTTCTATAAGATCTATGGCGTTTATACAGGTTTTCTATAAGATCTATGGCGTTTATACAGGTTTTCTATAAGATCTATGGCGTTTATACAGGTTTTCTATAAGATCTATGGCGTTTATACAGGTTTTCTATAAGATCTATGGCGTTTATACAGGTTTTCTATAAGATCTATGGCGTTTATACAGGTTTTCTATAAGATCTATGGCGTTTATACAGGTTTTCTATAAGATCTATGGCGTTTATACAGGTTTTCTATAAGATCTATGGCGTTTATACAGGTTTTCTATAAGATCTATGGCGTTTATACAGGTTTTCTATAAGATCTATGGCGTTTATACAGGTTTTCTATAAGATCTATGGCGTTTATACAGGTTTTCTATAAGATCTATGGCGTTTATACAGGTTTTCTATAAGATCTATGGCGTTTATACAGGTTTTCTATAAGATCTATGGCGTTTATACAGGTTTTCTATAAGATCTATGGCGTTTATACAGGTTTTCTATAAGATCTATGGCGTTTATACAGGTTTTCTATAAGATCTATGGCGTTTATACAGGTTTTCTATAAGATCTATGGCGTTTATACAGGTTTTCTATAAGATCTATGGCGTTTATACAGGTTTTCTATAAGATCTATGGCGTTTATACAGGTTTTCTATAAGATCTATGGCGTTTATACAGGTTTTCTATAAGATCTATGGCGTTTATACAGGTTTTCTATAAGATCTATGGCGTTTATACAGGTTTTCTATAAGATCTATGGCGTTTATACAGGTTTTCTATAAGATCTATGGCGTTTATACAGGTTTTCTATAAGATCTATGGCGTTTATACAGGTTTTCTATAAGATCTATGGCGTTTATACAGGTTTTCTATAAGATCTATGGCGTTTATACAGGTTTTCTATAAGATCTATGGCGTTTATACAGGTTTTCTATAAGATCTATGGCGTTTATACAGGCTTTCTATAAGATCTATGGCGTTTATACAGGCTTTCTATAAGATCTATGGCATTTATATAGGCTTTCTATAAGATCTGTGGCGTTTATACAGGCTTTCTATAAGATCTATGGCGTTTATACAGGTTTTCTATAAGATCTAAGGCGTTTATACAGGTTTTCTATAAGATCTATGGCGTTTATACAGGCTTTCTATAAGATCTATGGCGTTTATAAGGCTTTCTATAAGATCTGTGTGCATTTTGAATGTTTGACATCATCTTTTCATGTACCTTAACAACAGATAGCTCAACATTAGCCAGACAGTAGAAGCGACCAGAATGACACTATCTGTTCGTTCCACTTTCTGACCACGAAACACTCGGTTGTGTATACTTATGTATATTATTATAACTACCCCCTTAGCAACGATGACCTGTCATAGTGTGTATAACTACCAGTATAAGTGAAATTCTCAATACACAACATTTAACAATGAATAGGTAAGCTGGCCAATGATCCCGATATAACATCACTGTGTTTGTCTAAAAATCTGTTAAAGGATAAATAAGTGCTGTGATCTGATCTGTCAACACAGTTATATCCACCGGGCACCGGCTGATAGCGTTTGTCATTAGCCGGATCGGCTTCGTTATTTAAACTCTTATCCGTCCGGGGGGTCAGGTATAAATATACAGGTACATTTTCCACAATCGAGTTTGTGTGTTCTGGCGACAGTTGTGTACTGGCGGTGGCCGAAACAGATATAGTGTTTTGGAGATAGCAAGCAGTACGTGTTTCATCTACAACCGAATTTTTTCAGTCTATTAAACAAAGTGTTACTGATACAGTTTGGAAAATATTCACCGTGGATTTATGAAACAATCCTTCTTGATTTAGTGTGAACAATTTACGTGGGTTTTTTAATTCATCTGTAGACCTTGTGACGTGTTTTGTTGTGTAAAGGTAAGTGTGAGGAATACAAATATGCATGAAAAATAATTATTTATAGAAGAAGTCCAGGTATTACTCAAGACTATAGGCAAATCAATCATTTTCATTTATTTTTTATCATTTCATATATTACATCTAAACTTCTAATATTAAAAATAATTGAAGTATCCAATGGTAACACGAATCAGAATGGGTTTTGGTTCTGTTATCATGGTACTCTTATATTATACACTGTTAAAACGAATATTTTGGAAATATTTCTAATCTATCATTAAACAACGAAAACATGTTTGGTTTGACGAAACCCATTGCAGTAACGGAGATTTCCCTCCAAGATAACCATTGTTTAGGTTACAAGATAACCATTGTTTAGGTTACAAGATAACCATTGTTTAGGTTACAAGATAACCATTGTTTAGGTTAAAGAAATTCCTTCACTTCACTACCGGGACGTTAAAGAGGCTGGGACCTGGTCATTCGTTTATTTGTATGAATCCGATATATTTGCAATGAGGAAAATTGTTATGTGGAAATTCTTTGTTCAGAACTTGTTTAACCTCTACAGGCGTGTTACGATGTCGCACCTTTCAACATTTATTGTATTTCATCAATACGTGATAAAGTTGAGTAATACGTCTAAGTGTTATGATGCTTAAAAGTCAAGTGCTTCCATTTCATCATATTAGTGAGAATGCGAAATCTACATTTATGCAATATACATAATGCTAATTAATATCAAGCCCGAGACGGAAGTTATCGTCATTATTCTGCCTGCATTATCTAGATTGATTATCTAGGTGATTCGCGTTAAATACGTATTTTCAGAAACATAAGTGTAATGTGATCTGAATGGTCATCCTAATGTGCCAATGATGTTAAATTTTACTATTTATAATTGTAATGGTTAGAACTATACATGAGCGAATGCAGTTTTGAGAAAATTAGGGGGCGGGAGTTCTATATTTTGAAGCGCTGTGGGGTTGCTGCTTTGGAGGGATATCGACCCCCTCCGAATTAGAAAGAGGGGACGTGGTGTTATCAGATTTTTTTCCGGGTTATTAAATCAATCATTATTTTTAAGAATATATGTTAATGATTTTATTCATGCTATGCAAATAAACAAATTAATGGTACAAGGATTGGTCGCGTGATAGTATTCCGCATATATAATTACAGCGCTTGTAAATAACTATTGCTGCGTAAAGCTCACACCTCCCAGGGTTTGGTTTGGTTAAGTATTGTTTAACGTCCTATCAACAGCTATGGCCATGGACAGGGAAAATATCAATATAGGTATACCTATTACCACATATAGAAACAAAAATAATTTCTATCCGGTTAGAAATCGAAAGATCGATCCCCCACTCTCCTACTGATTTCTGTGGCTAGCATTACACGGTAATAAGGGGAGAAGAAGTGTGAACAGGTACAAACCGACATGATTTAACTCCAGGGCTTTGTGACGCCTAGTTAACCAAGCAACGCTAAATCCCAATCTCTTTGTCTATTACATTTTTTTGTAGAAGAAAAAGATTTATTACTCAACGTTGTTAAAGGAATATGGCACAAGGTATTTCAGCTCATTAAAGCCATGTTACCAATTTGCGTTTATAAGTTTTTCAATTCGATATCATTCCTATTGCTGTATTTGATGCTTGTTTTAACATGTCCGGATATTTCAGTTGTGTTTCGTGATAAGGGTTGCGGGTTCGAGTCACAGCACGGCTCTGTGTTGTACCTTGGGCAAGATACTTTACTTCGCTTGTTCCAGTCTACTGTAAATGAGCACGTGGTTGGGCAGTGCTAAAATTGTTGAATGCTAGCTGTTAGCACCGAAATGGCAGCTCCGGCTGTATGCTCCCCAGGGAGTTGAGAAAGATACTGGCTGGTTGCAAAGGCCTTATAACCACGGATAATAATTTGTGAACCGCTTTGAGACGACCTACGAACTAAGTTGTGATAAAGCGGTATATAAGAAACTCGAATTATTATCATTATTAAAAACGTTTAAGAACCCTAAAGCAACACATATTTATGCGAGACCACATACGTTGTTGTATTTTGCAATGACGCTTAATCTTCAAAAGGACTTTTTTTTTAGACCTCAGTTTCTTTCTGCTTAAGAAAGTATATTAATGTGTTTCTGTATTTCTATATTTTACAGGAACTCCAGAGCGTTTTGGTTTCGGACGAAAACGGACCAATTCCCATGGAGGCAGACCGGAAGTCGAGATCAGCGAAAGAGGCCATCTCTGGTGCTGTGGGAGGGGTAAGTGTCCAGCACTCTGTTACGTCCCCAATTAATCGTCTATATTTTGTACCATTTCCTATCTGGTTTCATCTAAAGTGTTGGTTAGACTAACTTGTACTATATAATATGTGATCATCAGCGCTGTAAATGATTAGCAACTACTTGAATATATTGGTTAAAGTGCAAAGCCTGAGTTGCTGTAGAGGCAGCCGTACTAAGGCTGATGCCCCCCGGGGGATGGAGGGTATAATCTACTGAAGAAAATGGGATGACTGAATAGGGTGTTACAACTTAAGTTGCAAAACTCATATCATCGTAATGAAATAATAACAGGTTTGCCTTTGACAAAATAGAGATTCTTTTCCAAATATATATTAACGTACCGTTTGTTTATATATTTCTAGATTCGAGATGATTCCAGGAGGTTGTATAAGTTTGTAAAAAAGCACATTCATTTGCGGAGAAAGGAAAAGTTCACCGCAGTGAAAAATATTCATATCGAACCGGAATACGATGAAACCACGTGGGCGCGAAGATCCGCAAGCAGCGCCGCCTCGCGGTCAAGTGTTGATTCAGCCTTATCAACGGACAGTAACACGAGTAGCATACGGGACAGTAGTTTGGAAATAGTGCATGACATGGAGAATGACTTTGGACTGGAAATAATTAACACGTGAAACATGATAATATCTGTTTTAACAACTGGTTACTTGGTGCTACAAGGACACAAACAATTGGAGACAAATTGAAATGTAAAGAATGCAGCTCCTTATCTTTTTTCTCGTGAGCGAGGAAAATGACGTCATTGGTCTCGATGACAGAGACTTAATTATTTAAAACAGAAGACTGATTCGGTCAAAAACTTTCAGAATATGAAAGGAAAACCAGAAGTAACATTAATGAATTTAACATAATAGTTCCAGTTTTTTTACCGGAAGTAGGAACTGAGTGTAGAAGTATGTAAAAGAGTGCGGCATGTCGACTACAGTGTGTTTCTTAATTTAGTTGTTGTCGTTCCTTTCAAATATGTGGCAAGAGAAAAGATCCTACTGTGTATCCAGTCTTTCTCCTGTAGCGCTACATGTGTAATGTGCGGGCGGGCACCAAACCAGCCATTCACCACACTTGATGTTGCTGCACTAGTTAGCGCGTCCCAGAGTTATACCACAACTCTTGAAAGCTAGCTTGTAGGTCAGGTAGTTTTCTCCCCACATCTGGTAAAAGGTTATGCAATATCTTGATTTCGAGATTCCAAATTATGTTTTCAAACCATGTGCCGAACTAATGAAAATTCGTTATATCTGCACTATGATCGTCATGTAGTTCTATACAGAAGGTTATCTACAACAGGGAAACAACTCACGATACAATATCATGCATTTTCAGATCGATTTGAAATGAAATGGAAAACAAGGAAAGTATAAAATTGATAATTATTTAAATTGATAAATAGTTTTAATCATAAAGAGATACAAGGGAGATAATTACAGCATAGCGGAGAAAGAGAGCGAGAGACCGAGCTTCTTATCCTCAGTCATAGTGAGCATATTTTATAATCAGACTCAAATTCACTAGGTACACAATTATCAATTATGTTTGAATGTTTTCTCCATAATACCTTAATTTATCTATTAATTGTGTATGGAATAGATGTTACTGGTTTTAGTCAATGACGCCAGTAAAACTGTCTTTCTTTCCATCTTTAATGTATGACAAAAAAAAACTTCGTCTGCGGGGAAAGATTTATCATTCCAAACCCAAGGCTTTCCAAGGGTTTGGTTCTCATGAGGCTGTCCACGGATGTTGGCATTTTTGTCATACCCGTAATGTAGGGAAGGATTCATCTAAGACACCGCGTGCGCTTTAAGAATTTCGTAATAGATATGAAATGCCAAAACTGCATTAGAACCGGCCTAACATGGCGACTCGGTGAAACGACATTCTTACTTCGGTAACTGTCCAACTGAAATATAACATCCTCTGGTTAAGTTTAAGTGACGAGTGACGTCATTCAACTGTTTAAATTCATCATCTCATGAAAACTAGTACATTATAGGCTTAGAACAAGATAAAGATAGGGCAGAAAAATAATCAGGGTTTCGTATATTTTTACTGACATGTTCATTCATCCATGTCTCACGTCACACCTTGAGGATAGCTTTGGTCTTTGGATTTTTGTAACTTATACTACGATAGAAAGAGCTAAACAGGAAATAGAAGTTTCATACATTTATACAATTTCTCATGTTAATTATGGTATCCGTTTTAAGTATATGTATGGATAATGTGTATGTGTTAACCGATACAAATGGACAAATCGGAAAAAGAAGTTTGTTATTGGTTTTTTGAAAGAAGGAATAATAGAACTGAGTGGGTCCAAAGACCAAAGTATCAATATCCACGATACATTTAATATTGTTAATAAACCCAATTGCTCATGACACTTAATTTATTACCATATACCACCGTTTGCTGTGATTGGAAGTGTGGTGTCATATTCCCTAGAAAAAAACGTATATTTTTTATTCATAATTCAAACGTGCAATAACTTATCATTTATTTCCATTGTAATTATACTAGTGTTAATTGTTTCTGTTTTAATATGTATATACTATGTATATATAGCAAACTGTGATGTTTCATATAATCTATACTGCCGTGATTTACGCTTAACATTGTGATTCAGAAATTTATAAGAGGAAGCGAGTTACCTCCCCTTTTTGTTTTGTTTATTTTTCTCACGTTGTTCACGATACACGGTTGTCCAAAGTAAATCTAAAGATCCACCTTCGTGTGACACCATGATCCGGAACATGGACTTTTATCATCCGATTTTAGTATTATTGTGCTTAACTTTTATTTTTTTGTGTTTTTGTAGTCAATAAAAATTGTTGAGCAAATATTTTGCAAATAATCAAGCATGTTACAATTTTTATTTTTAAACAAAATTTGTATTACCCTTGATATGAGAGAATTTACAGTCATTCTTAATTAAGAAATCTGCATAGATTAATATACTTTTTCAAAAACATTGAAATTGATTAATATAAACTTACTTCTTATCTGAAATATACGGCATATTTATTTCTGCTTACGATAATATTGCCAATAAGAGAGTCTGTTTGCTCTAGATATCCTATTTCAAATGTAAATATGAGAGGCAAGGTATTTTTTCTATTTCCGTCATTACAGGAATAAAAATGAACACTTCAAGCATAAGTCATTCAGGGAAAACCCATGGTATATAATAAATTACAATATGCATTGCCCTGGGAAGCTCCAACGTACACGTAGTACTTTATACTTTTTAGACATCATATTTTATATAAAAAAGCTAAAATATGAACTCTGTGTGCTGTATCTGTCTTAAAAAGGATTTTGGAATAAATATCTGATTGAGGGGTTTTTTTCATTTACAAATATATGAAGCATTGTTTTCACGGCCTAATGTTATTTTTCTGAAAATTTAGAGCATGAAGATTCTAATTTTTGAAAAACATAATAAAGTAGCCACGTGTTTTTCCTGCTCCTTATACACTGTTGTAATGTTTTGAATGATAGTAATGGATATTTAACACATAAGTTATTGAGGGAGGAGCTACAGTACTATAAAATCATCAGTCATTATAGGGGCTTTTATCTATGCAATTTCATTAATGTTGAATACTAACGGCGAGTTAGCAACATATAGATTTCTTTATGTTTAAACAATATATGTCGCTATCAAACTGATTTGTATTAACGTAATAAATTCATTAACCACTATGTTATTTGAAACATTGAAAATTGAGGACATTTAATCGGATATCTAAGCAGTGAAGTAATTAACGACACTATTTTATTAAAATATCTGAAATTCAATTAAAAACAATTGCTTCTTGTTTGACACTTTACAATGTACATCGTACGAGGTCCACCTAGGAGGAAGCAACAAGCTTTACTCAAGAGAGCGCTGAGTATCCGGCTTCTCAAGCTGATATTGAAAAGTTTTTGCCAAATACGTCATTTTTTCAGCGATTTCGGTTTCTTATCTACTTGTATTGGTTAAGAGGATAGCAAAATGTATGAATAAATCTGCAACATATTTGATTATACTATGAATAAACAAAATATGGATTTTATAACATGTATGTGTGGTATTTTTTTTGTCAACTGATGTTTCGAAGTAGTACGACAAACACTTATTGTAAATAATAATTCCAGAAGTCAGACACATGCTAGTTGTCAATAATAAAACCAGACGTCAGACACATGCTAGTTGTCAATAATAATAACAGACGTCAGACACATGCTAGCTGTCGATAATAATACCAGACGTCAGACACATGCTAGCTGTCAATAATAATAACAGACGTCAGACACTTGCTGCCCATCAATAATAATACCAGACGTCAGACACATGCTAGCCGTCAATAATAATACTAGACGTCAAATTCATGCTAGCCGTCAATAATAATACTAGACGTCAGATTCATGCTAGCTGTCAATAATAATACCAGATGTGACACATGCTAGCCGTCAATAATAATACCAGACATCAGACACATGTTAGCCGTCAATAATAATACCATAGTTCAGACAATTGCTAGCCGTCAATAATAATACCAGAGTTCAGACACATGCTAGCCGTCAATAATAATACCAGACATCAGACATATGCTAGCAGTCAATGATAATACCAGAGGTCAGACACATGCTAGCCGTCAATAATAATTACAGATGTCAGACACATGGTAGCCGTCAATAACAATTCCAGATGTCAGACACATGCTAGCCGTCAATAATAATTCCATGCGTCAGACATATGCTAGCCGTCAATGATAATACCAGACGTCAGACACATGCTAGCCGTCAATAATAATACTAGACGTCAGACACATGCTAGTTGTAAATAATAATACCAGAAGTCAGACACATGCTAGCCGTCAATAATAATACCAGACGTCAGACACATGCTTGCCGTCAATAATAATTACAGATGTCAGGCACATGCTAGCCGTCAATAATAATTCCAGATTTCAGACACATGCTAGCCGTCAATAATACCAGATGTCAGACACTTGCTAGCCGTCAATAATAATACCAGACGTCAGACACATGCTAGC